ATTCAAGCTTATGCTAAGTAATTTAAACCTACTAGTTATCTAAGTCCAATTATCAAATACAATTGTACAATAACAATTTTTTTTCAATTAAATATCATGTTTTATCTCGCTCCCTTAAGCTTTCTTTTTAACCTTTGTAGTGAATTTTAGCTCGATAGCCCTCCGATCTTTTAGGCCAAAGGGTACCGAGTTTCGAAATACCCGAACAAACTTAATAATTCGAGTAAAAAAGGCTACGAAGTAAGGCCTAAGATTCAACAAGTGCAATATCTTTTTTTTAAGCTCAACAAAACAAAATGGGGCTTAGATTCTTAGCATATGGTCATTACCTAGCTTATACTTGGCAAAAGACACTCTACACAATTTTTTTTTCACATGCATGGAATCAACACACTTTTAGATAATATCTTTCACCGACGCAACAAACCCCAAACTCATCTCACGATATGATTAAGTGAAAGAGAAGTGGATATAGGTTGATTTAAATTTTCAAGCACCTCACAACCTAATTCTAACAATTCAAAACTTTCTCCATCAATCAAATTTGTTCACATCTAGATAACAATTAATCATGTCTATAGTGCTCAAAGTAACTTGGGATCTCATATGGATTAGGGATAGCAATTTGAACTGTCAAAATCGAAAATCGCAGTTAACTGAATTGAACAGACCAAAAAAACCAAACCGATGGTGCAATATGACGGATATGGTATTTGATTTTAATGAACCGGTTCGAAGCGGTGCGGGTATGGTATTTATGCCGTCGCCCTGAACAGAAACCTATTACCCGTTAAATTTATTTTTTTTCATCTAAATAGTAATTCAATGCAAAACATGTATAAAAAATATCTAATTTTGTAAACTCCATATGGACCTTTTTTCTTTCTTTGTAATAACAAATGATGGTCATCAACTTACTCGCTCTTGAAGTGAACTCAATCAACAAATTCAGTTTCAAAAAATTTATTCTCTTACAATAAATTTGATCATTTCATCAGTTTTAGGCATCTAGATTGGCTTAAAATTAAGTATACATAGTCTTTGCCTTTCTTGATTATGTCATCAGTAACCTAGACATTACCCTTGGTACCATAAATTGCCGCCTTCTTACAGATGTACCCTCTATCGATCCTTTGTACAATTTTGATCTGGTAAGTGATCAACAACGCAAATTGTTTGAAGTGCTCCAATATAATTCACTTGACATCAGTTGATAACCATCATTTCATAAATTGTTTTTTTTTTTTAATTTGACGACTGGACCTATGAAAAATTATTTATTTTCATGGTTATTAACCGCCTCGAACCGAATCGAGATACGAACCGAACCGAACCAAAACCGACTTATGTGGTTATGGTGCAGTTATGGTATGACAAAAAAATTAATAGTTCGATGATGGTTTTGGCCGAACCAACCCCAACCCGAACCGTTGCCAACCCTAACATGGGCAAGCGATTTTTTTTAAAAAAAAAGGTACAAATAGCATATTTGGTCTTGCTTAGCTCATGAATCAACAAAAATTTTAAACATCAAGCTATCCTAAGTCGACAGTGCTATCTAATAGGTCAACACCAAATCACAACAATTTAAGCACAATCACCCCAAACTTAAATCACACATTATTCTCAATGTGTAAAGAACAAGATAAAGAGAAGAAGGAATAACAAAACTTCCCCGATTGGACATTTGTGAAGAGGTACCAATGTTTGAATTGGACTTGTGATTATTTTGATGAACTTGGGCAAGTAACATTCTTGTACACTAATTTACTTGTAAATTTGTCTGGAACCATGGATATTGCGACTTCAAAAATAACCTACAAAAAATGATAGCTAATTAAATAAAAGATACATAAAAGTAAATAAAAAAGCTTAAAAGTTAGAACATTGGATTTTCTCCCAACAAGCCTTTTTTTAATAATCTTTAGCTCGACTTTGGAAATTCAATCTCGGGCACCTAAAGAAGTCTTGGGTACTTTGCCCATTTTTCTTCGTTTGGCTTTGTTCCACTCTTCGTTGGATCTCCAAAACTTAACATTTTTCCTTTTCATATGATAGAACTTGCCTATTCCATCAAATTCAAATTCAACTATGAATACTTTTACTTCGTCATCGGGTTTAATCAGAAAATCAATTTCTTAGCAATCAACCGAGTCGGAAGAATGCAAATCGATTTTCTCGTCATTGATTGCCACATCTTTGTTTAGTTCGATTGTAATTAGTTTGTCATTCTCTTCAAATTCTTCTTTAATAGTTAACTTATCTTTGGATTGAATGACAGATCCGCCATCAAACTCCATAGGAAATGACAAGTCTTTCATATTAACTCCGTTGAGTGGATTATATCTTCACTTTTGAAATCCATCTCAATATTTGCAATCTCCCACAAGCGTGTCTTCTTCATCCAAATTGGCAAGTTCATTGTAATACTTTACAAGTACCTTCTAGTTCAAAAATGGAGGATCATCTCCTGAAAATTTGATGTCCTCGTCCCAATCGTCAGGTACATATTCTCCTGTGGGCATGTAACTATCGTCAAAATTGTCCATTTATTTTACCAAGATGGGAATAATGCAAATATAGTTGTAAAGTACAATGAGATAATACCAACACAAGATAGATTAACAATATGAGGTTAGCCAAAGTATATAAAAATAAAAGCAATTAAAAATAAATAGAAAGAAATTGTTAAAACTAAAATTAACTAAAATGGTAATCAAAGTAAAAACATTACCTAGCAATGTCACTAAAAACTTGTTCGCTAAAATTATAAACCGCAAGTACATGGATGGCGTTCAAGTAATAAAGTGGACCTTTTAAATCCGAGTTATTGATCCTCCGAGGAGTGTGTACTTTAGATTACACAACTCTAATTAATTTAAGTCTAACAATAAAAACAAATACACAATAAATTTATGATTTTGGAAAATAGGAAAAATAACTAAAAGTCTATAAAATAATAAAATAAAAACACTTGAAATTTTTGGATGAAAACGTGGTTGAGATTCATGGTTTCACTTAACTGTTACCTAATTAATTTCTTCACAAGTCAATTAATAAATTACTCATTTACGATGTTAGATCCGATTTTTAAATTTTAGTTAATTAATTCTCTCAAGTGAAATTAACCATAATTGATTGATTCAACTTACTATATCTCTATGTCGATTAAACCAAACAATTGCATTAATTTTTTTTGTAAAAAATACACTTATTTAATTTTATTAATAATTAATTAATAACATAATTCAATTTAGTCAACCTAAAATTAAAAAAATCCCTTTCTTTTCCATTTGTCAATAATTTTGTAAATCAATCTTTTAATATTACATTATTTTTTATTAACAACATTAATCCAATTTATTTAACATGAAATTGAAAAACATGTGTTGTTTAAGGAAATCAAAAGATGGTCTTAAATTTCCCTTTGAGAATAAAAGAAAATAAATTCAATTTATTCAACATGAAATTGAAAAATAGGTTGTGTTTAAGGAACTCAAAGGATATCCTTAATATCCCCTTTTGAGATTAAAAAAATAAAGATACATTCAATTTACTCAACATGAAAAAATAGGCGGTATTTAAGGAACTAAAAAGATGACTTTAAATTTCCATTTTGAGATTAAAAAAAATAAAATCTTTTAATTTGATTAAAAGCATTAATTCAAAATGAAATTGAAAAACATATGTTTTTATTAAAAACATTAATTCAATTTATTCTACGTCAAAAACACAAAAAAAGGGTATTCTCTAAGGAACTGAAAGGATGGACTTAAATTTCCCTTTTGAGATTAAAAAAAATTCTTTTAATTTGATTAATAGCATAACTTCAAAATGAAATTGAAAGACCAATGTTGTCATTAACAGCATTAATTCAATTTATTAAACATGAAATTAAAAATGAGTGTTGTTTAAGGAATCTAAAGGACATGTTTTTGAAGAATATCCCATCATATAAGTTAATTTTGAAAAGAAATTGTTTAGTGATGCTGTTGGAAAATCTGTACCCATTCAACGATTGTTGCAATAGGACAAGAATGATTTGTCCTGATTTCAAGAAATATATTATCCACACAAAAATAATCGTTAGACAACACGTTGAAAAATAAGTTATCATTTCACACATCACATTAACTCCAGTAAATGATGAAGGTTATCCTTTCAAATTTAAGAGAAAAATAATTTCAAATACGTCTATGCTTTGCAACAATCAGTAACAAAGCTCAATGACAAACAAAGTCTAATGTTGAATATACATTCCCGAACATATAGTCTCTTGCGGGCAACTGTATGTCTCACTTTCTAACTCAGTTTCAATGCAAACAATAAAAGTCTTGGTAAAAGAAGAAAATAAAAAGAAAAGACTCATGTTGACAAAAAATATTTTGTACAAAGAAGTGTTTATCGTAATCATAATATTATATTTAAGTTTATTTAACATTTTCACATTATATACATAAAAATTTTATTCATATATATATATATAATTTTAATTTTTCCTTCAATAATATCAATTACTTCAACTGCTTTAAAAAATAGTATTAGCACTTCAAAAACATTATGTATATAATTCATTCAATACGTCAGACGTGCAACATGCTTACTACTAATTTATTAAAAACCACGATCAAGGATGACGTGTGCGAATTAATACTAGGATTTACAACATCTTCCAAAAGAACTAACTCTCCCAGTTCATATTTGTACACATTTTGTTATCTCGACATATTATACATTCTTAGCAAATATTAAGATTCACATTTGCTAAGAACATCTAGACAGAGATCCATCACATCAGCTTCACAAATCTCTCAGATTGCACTAGAGAGGGCTCACACTTGTAACAACGTGTGAAATCAAATACATTAAACTTTGTCCACGTTGGAAACGTTAAACCTATAAACTGAGGGCGGGGTAATTGCAAAGTGTAACTGCGTTAATTTCTCTCTTTTACTGGTTAGACAAAAAAAGCAACCAGACATCAAATGCGTGTGGGAATATATAGCAAAGGTCACAAAATCATTTTGATGCAGAAGAGACTTTTAAGTGTTATTTATACATCAGAAAAACTATTACAAAGGGAATAACTATTTGCCAATACGTCTTCACTTGGCACGAAAACAAGATGACTATTTTGGGGCAAAGCAGTTGGAAATGGGGCTTGACAAGAGCAAATATGCGATCTGAGGCGAGGTATGTTTGGATGTGCACTTTGACACCTATGACACCTCAATTCCATGGAGAGGAAATTGTCTTCATTTTTCAACATGGCCTTGCCATGTTCGTTGATTTCCAGAGCAAATATGCGATCTGAGGCGAGGTATGTTTGGATGTGCACTTTGACACCTATGACACCTCAATTCCATGGAGAGGAAATTGTCTTCATTTTTCAACATGGCCTTGCCATGTTCGTTGATTTCCAGAGCAAATATGCGATCTGAGGCGAGGTATGTTTGGATGTGCACTTTGACACCTATGACACCTCAATTCCATGGAGAGGAAATTGTCTTCATTTTTCAACATGGCCTTGCCATGTTCGTTGATTTCCAGAGCAAATATGCGATCTGAGGCGAGGTATGTTTGGATGTGCACTTTGACACCTATGACACCTCAATTCCATGGAGAGGAAATTGTCTTCATTTTTCAACATGGCCTTGCCATGTTCGTTGATTTCCTGTATCACATCAACTGAATCCCGGAAGAATGGGGTATTAAATGAGTTCCAATGCTTCTTATTCTTGAGATGTTTCGAGTCAAAATCTTGGCTGATCACATGAAGGTGCAGTTGTCGCATTGAAGGGGCCTATAAGAAGGGACAACTCATTTCGTCAAACAGAGGAACAATGCACTGCTTGCAATAAGAAAATATGGAGGGGGGAAAACTACTAAGCTTGCTTGCTGCAATGAGGCAAGGATTCAACCAATTAGAACAAAAGAATTTGATTGGGCGAACAAACCATGAAGCCAAGTTCAACCCCGGAAATTCATTGTATAGAGTCAGACTGGAAGCATTAGAATTTTAAATACTAATCCTCATTTTCTAAGCCTATGTTTGGCTCATGTTTATAAACTGTTTATAAACATT